CATAAATGAATATAATACGGTATTTAATTAAGCAAGACTGTTAGGTATATTTCTATCCTAACCCCGAAATCGTCCCCCGAGCCATGGGTTCAGAAACAAGCTCTCTCTAATTCTACTCTAATCTAAACATGGCTTTCCCCAAGCCTTGCGTATATAGTAGGATGAATTTGTAGCTACAACAATTCACAAGTTAACACTAGAATTAAAGAAACAACCATAAGATGATAATCCGAATTAACGAAGATGTAATTAATAAACGTTAATAATTATGTCAACCACAACCCTAGAACTAGAGTGCTCATCCACTCATGTTCGTAGTAATAAGTTTTCAAGTATTTTGCAAAAACAAATTACAAAGAAAAGATAAATAAATGAAGAACTCGATGATTTTCTCCTCCAAAAGTTGTTCCACGTGATATTCTTGCCTCCGTTCGCAAAAACTCCTCTAAAAATGGTGTTTAATGACTATTTATTTGTGTAGGGAAAAAGTCTAAACGAAATAACCAAGTCCAAAACCAAAAAGGAGACAAAATAGGCTTTAAAACCCGGAACATCCTCGCGGCGCGAGGCAAAACGCGAGCTTCATCGCACTGTAGCCCGTGCGACGCAAGCTCTATCACGCGCTTTGATCCTCGCCTTGCCCGCTTTAACGCGAGCAAAGTAGCTCGCTACGCCTGCTGCTGCTTCGATTCAATTTTGTTGCATAACATTTCCAATTCACGTTTTTGTTTCTTTTTTCAATTGTTATATTTGTCTTCTTTTGATTTGTCTCTTTTGTTTACCNGATCAAGTATGACTTTAATTGTTTGTAATGTAGCTTGCAGGTCGGGTAAGATACATTTGGCTATAAGAGTGACTACACCTCCCTAAGCACTTTAATACATATACTTTAACATTCAAACCACATACTTATGTCAAACCAAACTCCACCTTCACATCTATGTATATTACTCCATACTTCTTTTAAGCACAATTACATCAAGAGTCACCACTATCAAGGAATATTTTTCACATCAATACAACTATATATATATATATATATATTTTTTTTTCTTTCTTTTTCAATTCACGTGGCTCTTACTTTTTCAAAACAGTGCACCTCTCTCCTTATTTCATTTGTTTCACTCAAAAGCCAAACCAACCACCCCACACTTTAACTTTTACAAAGTTCATTACAATTCAAGTGTTCATGAGAGGTTAAAATGTTCAAATAGATGGTTAATTCAAACAAATGGGTAAGGCTTGTAATGTGATTGCCAAAGAAATAGGATTACATGCTCAAAGGGGTTAACTACGATACATAACAATTAGGCGGGTAAACTATATATATCTGGCTCAACAAAGAAACGCATATATCACTTCCAAGACTGAACAAAACTACTATTTCACTTTGCAAACACACGGGGCAAGTTCTAGACATCAAATGCAATGCACAGAATAATACACAAACCTCACACATACATGACACATAACTCACTCAGGATCGGACTAATCAAGACACTCTAGTCAACGCAGTTAAGCAAATTTTAGATCATACAATTTAAGGTACTTATACAAGAGTCAAAAACTGAGCCTAAGCGTCACAACCAAAGTACTCACTATTCTCAAGGCATAACAAAGTTAAGAGATATTTCTTTAAGTCAATTCATCTCACAATGGCTCCTACTCCTAAAGAAAATAAAACTAACTACACCCGGTTCAAACAAAACCCTTAGAAAAGAACCGCGGCACAAAGAAAAACCAAGGGGGAATTACTAAACTACATACAAAAAAAATGTTTTTGTCCTTTTTCCTTAGACTTAAATCCCTCAACTGATGTCCAATTTTTCTACTTTTTTTTTCACAGCGACTAAAATACTAAAACATTACACAACTACGAAAACAAATATAAGAAGTTAACATTTTTCTAACATCCTACTACTAATTATCTAGAGAATTCTCCCACCCCACACTTAAAAGAGTGTAGTGTCCCCAATGCACAAATAAAGCAAAATAATAATGAGGGTGGACAAGAAACTCCCTGAAAGGCTAAAGGCCGAAGCAATAGCGGCTCACGGAGTACTCAAACTTCCCCCAGGCATGGTCCTTTGTGTGGGCACCCCACACTTAGTTCTCACCATCTAACTCGCTTTTCCACACTTCCAATGGCTTTGCCTCCTATGTTTATAATCCTGCAAAACAAAAACAAACACTACAACAATAATAAGATAAAAAATAAAAATAAAAGAAAGCAGTAAAGATGGGTTGCCTCCCAACAAGTGCCTTATTTAACGTCACGGCACGACACAAAATCTCATCTAATCATTGGCAAGTAACACCTTTGACTTTTGACTATCAAAGTCACCTCCATAATAGTGCTTTACTCTTTGTCCGTTCACTAAGAACGTTCTCTAGCCACCTAAGATGCGCAGCTCAATTGCACCATGTGGAGTGACTCCCACTACCTCAAACGGGCCCGACCATCTCGTTTTGAGCGTCCCCGGAAATAGTTTTAACCTCGAATTGAACAAGAGAACCAATTGGCCCGGTACGAACTCGCGAAAGTGTATATGCTTATCATGCCAGCGCTTGGTCTTTTCTTTATATAACTTTGCATTCTCATACGCATGCAAGTGAAACTCATCAAGCTCATTCAATTGCATCACCCGCTTTCTACTCACAAATTCTGCATCAAAGTTCAGCTTCCTTATCGCCCAATACGCCTTGTTCTCAAGTTCCACCGGTAAATGGCATGCCTTCCCATAAACTCGCTTGTAAGGGGAGGTTCCGATTGGAGTTTTGTAGGCAGTCCGGTATGCCCATAGATCATCATCAAGCTTTGCAGCCCAATCATTCCTACTTGCACTAACCATCTTCACTAGGATCTACTTTATCTCTCTATTTGAGACTTCAACTTTCCCACTAGTCTGAGGATGGTAAGCGGTTGCAACCTTATGTTTGACCCCATATTGCGCTAAGACATTGTCCAAGAGCTTGTTACAGAATTGGGTGCCCCCATCACTAATCATCACTCTCGGAGTACCGAACCTTGTAATGATATGCTTTTTCACAAAGTTGACCAAAACATTGGGATCATTGGTGAGAAGAGCAATGGCCTCCACCCATTTCGACACATAGTCAATGGCCACCAAAATGTGGTTACACCCACTAGACAAGGGAAACGGACCCATAAAATCAATTTCCCACACATAAAAAATTTCAACCTCCATAATACCGTGCAATGGCATCTCATTGTTCCTATTCTCTGGCACCTATCACACCTCCTCACGAACTCATGGGAGTCTTTAAACACGCTAGGCCAATAAAAACCCGATTGCAACACCTTAGCTGTCATTTTGTCACCCGCATAATGATCACCATAAGGCGACGCATGACAGTCATGTAAGATAGCATTTATTTCAGATTCGGGCACACAACTTCTCATTAACTGATCGGTACAAGATTTGAACAGAAATAGCTCATCCCACACATATGGCNCCTCACATCTCCCAAGAACTTCTTTTTAGCATAAGGTTCAAGATTAGGCGGCATCTCTCCACTTTCCAGATAGTTCACAAAATCTTCATACCATGGCACCTCCCCAACAGTAATGGCCAACAATTGCTCATCCGGGAATGTTTCCTTGATGACATCTCCCCCAGCTACATGATTCAGAGTTTCTAACCTGGATGAGTGATCAGCCACTTGATTCTCTGTTTCTTTACGGTCTCGANATCTCCCCCAGCTACATGATTCCGAGTTTCTAACCTGGATGAGTGATCAGCCACTTGATTCTCTATTTCTTTACGGTCTCGGATCTCAAAAATCAAATTCCTGCAAAAGAGTAAAACCCAACAGATTATCCTTGGTTTAGCATCATTCTTTTCGAACAAATACCTGATGGATGCATGGTATGTGTAGACGATGAATTTGGTGCCAACCAAATAGGCCCGAAATTTATCGAATGCCCATACTACAACAAGCAACTTCTTTTCTGTCACAGTATAATTTATTTATGCAGGAGTAAGATTCTTGCTTGCGTAGTAAATGGAGTGAAAAATTATGCTCCTCCTCTGGCCCAACACGGCCCCAATTACACCATCACTAGCATCACACATCAGCTCAAATGGCTCTTTCCAGTCACGAGCCACTATGATTGGTGCACTCACTAACATCTTTTTCAGCTCCTCGAATTCTTTCAGACAAGCATCGTCAAACTTGAACGGCACATCCTTTTCTAATAACTTGCACAAAGGAGAAGAAATGTTTGAGAAATCCTTTATAAATCGGCGAAAAAAACCTGCATGTCCCAGAAAACTCCTAATTCCTTTCATAGAAATCGGTGGTGGCAACTTTTCAATTGCTTCCACCTTAGCTTTGTCAACTTCCAATCCATCTTTGGACATCTTGTGCCCCAACACTATACCTTCACGTACCATAAAATGGTACTTTTTCCAATTCAGTACCAGATTAGTCTTCTTACACCTAGCAAGCACTTTAGCAAGATCGGTCAAGCATTCATCAAAAGAAGGACCAAACAAAGAAAAATCATCCATAAAAACCTCCACAAACCATTCCACCATATCGGTGAAAATAGCCATCATACACCTTTGAAATATCGCAGGTGCATTACACAACCCGAATGGCATTCTCTTAAATGCATAAGTGCCATAAGGGCATGTAAAAGTGGTATTTTCTTGATCTTCTAGGGCAATAACAATCTGATTATACCCCGAATAGCCGTAAAGGAAACAATAGTATTCCTGTCCGGCTAACCTGTCTAGCATTTGATCAATGAAGGGGAGGGGGAAGTGATCTTTTCGTGTAGCATTATTCAAATTCCTATAATCTATGCATATTCGCCAACCAGTCACAGTCCTAGTTGGGATTAATTCATTTTGTTCATTCACTACAACAGTCATACCCCATTTTTTAGGTAAACATTGAACATGGCTTACCCACTTACTATCGGAGATGGGAAATACTATACCTATGTCGAGCCACTAAGTCACTTCTTTTCTTACCACCTCTTTCATGATTGGATTTAGGCGGCATTGATGATCCACTNTGATGATCCACGCTAGGCTTGTGTCCCTCCTCTATGAGTATTTTGTACATGCAGAATGCAGGGCTAATACCCTTTATGTCAGACATTGTCCAACCAATGGCATGGTTGTGCTTCCTCAGCACCCTTAAGAGCTTTTCTTCCTGCAATTTAGACAAATAAGAAGAAACAATCACTGGAAAAGATTTAGAACTACCCAAATATTCATAATGAAGATGAGATGGTAACGAAGGTACTTATACAAGAGTCAAAAACTGAGCCTAAGCGTCACAACCAAAGTACTCACTATTCTTAAGGCATAACAAAGTTAAGAGATATTGCTTCAATTCAATTCATCTCACAATGGCTCCTACTCCTAAAAAAAAAAAACTTACAACACCTGATTCAAACAAAACCCTTGGAAAAGAACCGCGACACAAAGAAAAACCAAGGGGGAATTACTACACTACATACAAAGAAAATGTTTTTGTCCTTTTTTCTTAGACTTAAATCTCTCAAGAAAACTGTCTAGGAGATTTATCGTTGGGAAAAGTCCAATTTTTCTACTTTTTGTTTTCAATTTTTTTCATAGCTACTAAAATACTAAAACACTACACAACTACGAAAACAAAAATAAGAAGTTAACATTTTTCTAAAATCCTACTACTAATTATCTATAGAATTCTCCCACCCCACACTTAAAAGAGTGCAGTGCCCCCAATGCACAAATAAAGCAAAATAATAATGAGGGTGGACAAAAAACTCCCTGAAAGGCCAAAGGCCGAAGCAATAGCGGCTCACGGGGCAAGCAAAACTCATCAAGCTCGTTCAATTGCATCACCCGCTTTTCACCCACTAATTCTACATCAAAGTTCAGCTTCTTTATCACCCAATAGGCCTTGTGCTCAAGTTCCACCGATAAATAGCATGCCTTCCCATAAACTAACTTGTAAGGGGAGGTTCCGATTGGAGCTTTTTAGGCAGTCCGGTATGCCAATAGAGCATCTTCAAGCTTTGCAGCCCAATCTTTCCTACTTGCACTAACCGTCTTCTCCAGGATCTGCTTTATC